TAAATTGAAAACAATTCCGATCTCTCTTTCATCTGCATTAGACAACTCGAGGCAAATGATTTAATTAGTGAAATTCCCTAAAAAAATGTACTATTTCCTAAACATTACTTCTTTTCTGATGAAAGAAGAGTTGAGTCTTCTTTTCTCAGAAGACCAGGTATCCAAATAGCTGAGGAGGGCACTATAGGATGTATTTAAAAAGAAATACTATAATAAAGAACTTTGATGATGGTATTAAAATATGGTGTTTCCATTAGATTTAATTTTTTTAAATTTATATCTCATTTTCCCCTAAAATAAATATCAGAGCCACCAAAGAAATATACACTCTATGATCAATTAAACAAAAATACAACTAGGACTTCAGATAAACTTTGGCTCTGAACTTGCTGGCAGTGGGCACAAAAGTAAACAAATTTAGTTGCATTTTCCTAGTAAAGAGAAAACGAAAAACATTCTATTTCCATAGGAGAAGCACTTTTTTTCTTGTATGACATTTTAAAAGAAGTTTCTGAAATAAGGTAATATACTATGGACATTTAGTAGCCTCATGGACAACATCCTTAGCAAAATATTACAAAAATGCAAAATATTACAAAAATGTCATAGACCTATTTCTTCAAGCATAGTTAATCACATGATATTTAAAAAGTAAGTAAACAAGTAATTCTCAAGACGCTGAATTTATTGAATTCAAATATCTAGGCTACCTGATCTATCTTGGTAGAGTGGCACAATTTGAGATACAGTAGGAATTATGGGCTGCAAGTGTCTTACAATGGCTCCCCGAAATATCCTTTGAGTTTTATAAAAAATATATGTAAACATGTGCAGCGTGGTGAAATACTCTCTAACTTAAGGTTAGAACACAAAAAGAGAAATCACGTCACAAAACACAGACTATACTTAGGTATGGACCAATCCCACCTTGTTCATAAAGTTTTGCTTTTATGATCTTATCTGTTATACATGCTCTTTAAGATCAGAACATCTTGAAGAAACACAATTTTTTTTTCCTAGAACAATCAACAGATATTCTTTAGAAAACTAGTTAAGTAATTTGAGAGTCAAAGCTGCATGAGCGAATCAGTAACAATTGGATATATTTGTTAAAGGATTAATTTAATGGCTGCTTAACTCATTCACTGGGTTCTAAAAATCTAATGAAAATTAAAACAGTACTCTGGATCAAACTTATGAGATTTTTCATAAAACATGCCCTTTGATATTCAACACTGAGGATTTTATGATTTGAAAGGATTAGTAGCAGTGAATTGGTGAAAGTGTACTAAAAGAATATAGAATATAGAATATAGTTATAGTTATATAACTAAGTTATTGTACTTAGCCCATTACAGAGACTATTTGGAGTGATGGCATGAAATTGTGGCTACTTAAGCAATCAAGATCTGTGGGGTCTTGATAATTCTAGCGAAATAAAAAAATGCTTAAATATGTACTCTAATATTTGTATACATTCAGTGAAGTCAATTAAAAGTATTTATGTTGACATGTAAATCTTAAGGGATAATTATTATTAACCATGCATATATTTTGTATTAATGACAGTGGGAAATTAATAAAAGTGAATGCCAACATTCTCAACTAATATATGTTGTGATGAACCACTTCTATGGGATTACCTCTTTGAATTTCTTAAAGTCAACACAAAACATAATTCAGTATTTTGTGTTTCACTCTACTTAAAGAGTCTTCTGGCTTAGACACCCCAAATAACTGGAAGAGATAAGCTTGTTGAATGCCACTTTCATTTTATAAGATGGAATCTCCTACCAAATAATTCTACACTTATCCTAACCTATAATGGGGCACCTGGGTGGCTTAGTCAGTTAAGCATCTGCCTTTGGCTCAGGTCATGATCCCAGGGTCCTGGGATGGAGCCCTACATCCGGCTCTTTGCTCAATGGAAAGCCTGCTTCTCCTTCTGCCTCCCTCTTCCCCTGCTTATGCTGTCAAATAAATAAATAAAAATTTAAAAACCCCAAATAATCCTACACTTAATTTCATTTTACAAATATATTAAAAAATTCTTATTTTGACTTGTTGACCTGTTAAGTATTGCAGAATAATTTGTAGGTAAAAACAACTACATGCTGAAAATGAGACTTTTTTTCCATGTCTACCTACACAAAACACAATAGAAGAAAGGTTTTTTATTTAATGCTGTTTCAATTAAAAAAAACTATGGATATTATTTTATATCAAATTTTTAAAAGTGAGGGAAAAATATTCACATACAATATTTAGTTGTAATTACTATCTGCCCTAGTCATACATTTTCCTATCTGTTCTAGATAAGGATAAGTATTCAAAATGACACATAATCATCCCCATGCCCCATGACAGTGAAGTAATACATTAAAAAAAAAAAAATCAAGATTCCAAGTGTCAACTGAACAGATTTGTTATTTTAGAATATTCCTGTGTATAAAAAAAGCCCTAACCTATGATAAAAATTTTCATTCATGTTGTTCACTTAACATTTAATTATATTAGGCCTTATATTATTACTTAGGTATTTCACTTCCCACAACTTGTCACCTCAATGAATCATAATATCAGGGAACATGTTATATTTCCTAAATAACTGGTTAGAAATCTCTAATATTTCTGCTTATTACTTTGTAGAATGGTATGTACATTAATGAATAAATGAACAAGTGAATCAATAAAAAATAAAAGTTAATTAAAATAGCATTTCTTTACAGCATATTTCTTTGTGATTAGTTTGTAAAACTCCTTGACTTTGAATTAGTCAACTTTTGTTCTTCTCTATGCATAGCACAGGGTATACAACAAATAGATGCCCATATTGAAGTAAATAAATACAAGCAATAGAAAAACCTGTGAAAGTTTCAAATATGCCTTAGAGAAATTAAGAATTTTACATGATGATAATTTTTCTCATAAAGAATAATTAATGGAAAATAAATTTTACCAAAGAATCTCCAAATAAATATCTCCAAAAATGGAAATGCCAGATGCTGTTAAAATAAAAACCTTGGTATAGGATATCATCTTTATTGTTACTGAAAAAGAAAAGTAAATATTGTACATTGTATTCTGAATGAGACATATTTAGGTTCAATTGCAATTTTACATCAGCTGCCCAGTGTTCTGAGCCAAATGTCAATGCTGGGACTCTAGGCTTTTATACCTGTTTAGATACCCTCTCTCTGTCATCTCTCTTCTATTGAGTAGGTAATAATAATTTTTAAATAATTCAGTAATGGGAGAAATAGCTTTATTTTCTTCAAGCAAACCCTCCTCTCCTATACCTCTACGGTCATAATTTAGTTTGATCAGGCACAGAAATGCCATTTTGATTTTAAAATGACTTATGCACTACCAACTCTGACTTCAATATAGTTATTATTCTGAGATGTAAACAAGTACTTAAATGGAGTATTCTGTGATTGTTTAATACAAACATTTTGGGAAGCTTTTATCGGATGATAGATTGAATAATATTTGAAAATATTGTCACAGTTAAGATGTATGGAGTGGTTACTATGTGTCAGAAATGGTTTGCAGAGCTTTACAAGTGACAACTTATATAATTCTCACAACTTTATGAATTAGAAGTTAACACCTCTAGAAGAGGCATCTGAGTCCAGGTCGCTGAAGTAACGTGCCAGTCACACAGTTACAACGTGGTGGATCCAGAACTCCAAACCAGGCTCTCTGGGGACTGAATCTTGTGGTTGGTACTATCTAGGCAGACTGCCTCTCTATAAAGTCATGCTGTTTTAAAGAATATCAAAGTGGGGGCACCTGAGTGGCTCAAAGGGCTAAGCATCAGACTCCTGATTTAGGCTCAGATCATGATTTCAGGGTCATGAGACTGAGCCCCATGTTGGTCTCCATACTGGGTGAGGAGCCTACTTAAGATTCTCTCTCTCCTTCTCCCTCCGCCCCTCCCCCCCAGCACAAGCTCTCTCTCTCTCTCAAAAAGAAAAAAATATTGAAGGTATTTTTAGAAGCCAGTGAAGAAGAATTGATAGTAGATAGTGGATTTATTGCTTTTGTCATTTCATTGAAATCTAAGAACCTATTTCTCCTATATGACATCTCTGAAACCTCTCCTAGCTTCACCAACACTACTCCATTACAACTAACACAAGACAGGCACTGATCACAAACACCAGCAGTCTTGGCTTTGATGGAGCCAAGAAAGGAAAAAAAAAAAAAAAAAAAGGCTTCAGAAAATTTCTAATACATTTCTGCTTTCATACATAAAAAACAAAAATTAAAAAAATACATTGTAAACATATACACTATTTCTAGGAATAGCAATTAGTGCAAGGTGAAATAGAATAAAGTTGGAAAACCACTGATATCTGATTTCCACCCATAAATAACTAATGTCAACATAATCTCATCCATCTGTAAAGCCTAGATGAATAGAAAAGCTCATATTACCATCCACAAGTACACAAATACACTGAGTACAACAAAGCCTTCTTTTTCACATGAGGATTTTCATTCCCTGATCTTTACTCTCAAGGCTTGCTACTTATTAAACACTGGTATGAAAACAGTATTATTTAGGTGGATCCATCCATTTCCTTTGGTTAGAGAAAGCCATTCTCATATACCATCTAAAGCAACAACCTGTGCTTCAGTTGAAGACTTGATTAACCTTATATCTGCTTCAGTACTGACAGAAAACAAACACGAATGAGATCCTGGTTCTCATTGGTTTTTAACTCAGATCCCCCTCATCTCCTGTGACATGGTACCATGTGTGCCTGTGAGTGCTGGTCTCACCAGGTATTCCTCATTGAATAACAAAGGGGATAAATACTTCAGAAAGATGAAAAGGAGAAGGGGAAAAAACAAACAAGCAAACAAAAACCCCTTGGACCTGACATTATGGAAAAAATAAAAAAGACACTAAGATGAAAAAAAAAATAGTGTCATGGTTTACATGTGGGATTTTGATGGAATCTAGGGCTGTGTTTTAATTCAAAACTCACCATCTCAAAACCACTTCTTTTCATCCGCCTGCAGGACTTGAGGTAAGTACGTATACGTTTTCTGGCACGCTCTTGATACTCAGGGAATTGTCGCCTGCATGAGTCAATGATAGCCTGGATCTTTTCTTTGGGCTGCTTAGAGATTGGGACCATTCGGTCCAAGTTTTCATCTACAAACAGCCTGACAAACATCTGTTGGCAAGAGGGAGACAGAGGAGAAGGGTTTGGAGGGCTGCTGTCTGCTGTTCCTAGCTTCCTGTCTTGATTACCGATAGGAAAATACTCTTTTCTGCCTTATGCACTGAAGAACTTTGCAATGGAAAGCCAGAAATTTTAAGCAAACACCCTTTAAAGGCTTTCTAAATGGTTGGATAAAAAATAGAGAGAAAAAAGAGAGAGGCAGACAGACAGACAGACAGACAGAAAAGTATAGACTATCGTGTAGGAAAAAAAAATCAGGAAATAACAGTAGACTGTGACAATTAAGCACCCCATCAAATTCTCCATTAATGATAAATGCGACTGCTACATTGCTATGCTGCACAGTGCACTAATCTCTGAAAACAATGGACTCTTTTGTCATGCATGATTAGATAAGCCGGGAAGGCAAGAGAAATAACTGAAGACGGGCATAGTCTTCCGAGGAAGAAGCTGAGGCCCCCTCATCCACTAGGTAAACATGCATACTCACACAACACAAATCCAGTTTTCAGCTCACATTTGGCTTTAAAATTCTAAAACAAAACACAGCAATTCTGGTGTCTGGTTGGCAAAGAGTGTTTCATGTACTTTTTAAATCCTTCTGTAAATTAACAGACATGTCTCTAGAATATCCACATTTACCAGCAAGCAACAACATGAAAGTGAAGTGGTCAAAAGTAAGCCACACAGGGAGGGTGGCCAGACTCACATTAAAAGCTTTCAGCCGCTCGGCCTCAACGCCATCTGTCTCGTTCACTTTTTCAGAATCGTCGTGGTCATCATGGTCATCTTCATCCTCATCTCCTCTGTTTAGAGATAGGTCCTCGGCACCTCGGTCTACGCTCTCATTTTTGCCAGAGTCGTAGCTTGAGTAGCTATGTGCAGGAGACTGAAAAGAAAGGGGCAAATTGCTGTTTTTGTGTTTATCGCAGAGCATATAAATTCTGTTTTTAATTTCAATGGTTTCTCAAAAATCTTGCTGAAAGAAGTTAATCCCAGAGTTGTGGCTATTTTAATTTGAATCAAAATTAATGAAGTTTAGATGAAAAATCCATCTCCTCAGTCACACCAGTTACATTACAAGTGCTCAATAGCTGCAGAGAACATTTCTATCACTGCAGAAAGTTCTATTGGATTTAGCTTTTTGAGAGCAAAGACAGTTTCCACTCAATATACATACTTAAAAAAAAAAAAGAAAAATCAACCTGTAATCACCTTTGTGAGAGAATCACTGAATCATATATTCTTAGAAACAGAAATGACCTCAGAGGTTAGTCAATCTAACCGTATCAGTATTTTTTTTTTTAAACAGATAAGGAAACTGAGGGGTGGATATATTTAATTGATTTGCCCAACAAGGACTACACAAAATATTGATGCTAGGGGTGCTAATTATAAGACAAAGTCTTGAAAATCAGTTTTTAAATTGTCTGTGAGTCTTAGGATGGCACTGAATTTTGGTCTAGAAAAAAGGAACCAGGTTTACTCTGAATCACGTTAAGCTTAATGCTTCCTAATGCTTAATGGAAGATGAATGCCAGCCGGCACAGTTCTCACAAACTTCGATAACCATGTTCAAGACTAACCATGGGTCCTGCAGTGGTATCTCCTACTTCTTTGTCCATACAGCACCTTTGCCTTTCAGAAACAGCCTCTGCTCCCCTAGGTGAGAAGTGCCAATCCCCGGGCAGCAACCTTCTCTACCCCAGCTGTGCCCCAACTTTACCTCTGGGTAACTGAAATCAAGTTGAATCCAGCAAGGCTAAGCAGAATAGACTCCTAATAACATCATCTGAGATTATAGATTCAACTGTGCCTGAAATTAACCCATCAGCTGTGTGATACTCTACCTCTTCTACACCCCATCCCCCTTCATTTTCTCTTTGCTTAAATCTTAAATAACAGTAGACTGTGTCTGGAGTGGTATAGAAATCAATCATGGTAAGGCCAGATTAACAATCCAATTGAGTCTGGAGTGGTACAGAAATCAATCATGGTTAGGCCAGATTAACAACCCAAATTTCACATATGAGAATTTAGATACATAGGTGACCTCAGTGAAATAGATATCTCTGTAAACAGCAGCAGCATCCTCAAATCAAAAAAGTAAAATACTTTTGAAAGAACCTCACAATGGGAAATTTTAAATCAGTGGTGTTCAAAAATGCCTATGTGCGATAACATATGTGTAGTATGTTGTAAGGATCACGGTAATATCTTATTACTGCATAATCAGAGGAAGAATAATAAAAGTAGAATAGATCCCTGACATAAAAAATAAAGTTACAATTTAAAAAACATATTTTATATTACTGTAATATTATAGTATTTCAAATTATTAACAAGGTAGATTTACCTTAAAAAATGTAAGGCAAATATTCCATAGGTTTGAAAAATATACTATATATTTTTAATGCCAATGTGCAACATTTTAAAAAATGTTACAATACACTGAATGCAAATATGTTGGGCTAATATATTCTTTCCACATGCCACGTGAAATACACAACCTTGCCGTCTGCTATAAACAGAACCATTTGGAATGACATCGTTTTACACCTCTACTCCCTCTGGGTAAAGAAGACCCAGTCTTACAGACCTGAGAATATTGAGAATCTAAATCTAAAACATAATCAATTTTTCCTTAATATAAACTGAAATTTGTATAACTCTGAATCCAGTTTCTCAGCTGGAGTGTCATTTCCTGCCTCTTTCACTGTTGAAGATACTATTAACTAGCTTTCAAGGCCAGTCCAAGTAAATTCAATTTCCACCAAGATTCCCTCTTCTTTCTCAGTCTCCTTCAATGTTTCTCTAAACTGTGAAGTCTTAATATACTATGACATTTGACACAGAATTAAACACTATCATTGTTCTCTACTTTTCATGTTAATTTGCATTTTCTTTCAAGCTAGACTGAGATAGGCACCAACACATGACCTCTACTTCTTCTCTCACAGCAACAAAGAAATGTTCTCTACAGAAACAGCATTTAAGACTGTCAGCAGTGTCCCCTTTTCTACAAAATTATTTGGTCTTAAAAAATGGGGGGATGAAGCCAAGTCACAGATTAGGAGAAAATATTTACAAAAGGCACCTCTGATAAAGGATTGTTAGCCAAAATACACAAAGAACACTACAAACTAAATGATAAGAAAGCAAACAACCTGATTAAAATATGGGCCCCAAACCTTAAGAGATAACTCACCAAAAGAGATAAACAGATGGCAAATAGACATTTCAAAGAAGCTCCACATCATATGTTATCACGGAAATGCAAATTAAAATAACAATCAGATACCACTATACACCTATTAGAATGGCCAAAATCTGGAATATCAACATCAACATCAAATGCTGGTGAGGATGTGGAACAACAGGAACTCATTCACTGCTGATGGGAATGCAAAACGGTAAAACCACTTTGGAAGACAGTTTGGCAGTTCCTTACAAAACTAAACATACTCATCGTATGAGTCAACAGTCATGCTCCTTGGTATTTATCCTGAGTTAAAAACTTATGTCTACACAAAAAAACTGCACAGGGATTTTATAGCAGCTTTATTCAGAATTGCTAAAACAAATGCAATCAAGATATGCTTCAGTATGTGAATGGATGCATAAACAGTGGTACATCCAGATAAGGGAATATTATTCAATACTAAAAAGAGATGAGCTAATTGAGACGTGAAGGAACACCAAATACCTGTTACTAAGTGAAAGAATCCAATCTGAAAAGACTACATATTGTATGATTTGGGCTATAAAACATTTTGGAAAAAGCAGAACCATGAACAGTTAAAAGATCACTGGTTGCCAGGGTTTGTGGGGGATGGGGGATGGGGGATGAATAAGTGGAGCACAGCGAATTTCCAGGGCCCTGAGAATACTCTATTTGATACTATAATTGTACATACATGTCACTATATATTTGTACAAACCCATAGGATGTACACCACCACAACTCCTAATATAAACCATGGACTTTGGATGTTTATAGTTTCTCATTGTAGATTCATCAGTTATAACAAACGCACCACTCTGGTAAGTGATGTTGATAATGAGGGAGGCTATACATGCATAGCGGCAGGGGGTGTATGGAAATCTCTGCATCTTCTCAATTTTGTTGTGAACTTAAAACTGCTCTAAAAAATAAAGTCCTTTTTTAAAAAATGGGGAATATGGATATTGGGATGATAATCTAGAATGAAGTCATAAAAATTACTATAGTCTTTTAACAACCCACATAAAATATTGCAGTCTCTACACCATAAACCTACCTTACTTTATTAAGAACTTTGGATGACCATACTCTAAGAAGACTTAGTTTCAGGAGCAATTATTTTCATATTCCAGATATAAATTGAAAAAATCCAAATTAAATCTTTTTTTAAAGGTTTTATTTATTTGACAGTGAGAGAGTGCACAAGCAGGGTGAGAGGCAGAGGGAGAGGGAGAAGCAGGCTCCCTAACAAGCAAAGAGTCTGATGCGTGGCTGCATCCCAGGACCCTGAGATCGTGACCTGACCTGAAGGCAGATGCTTAACTGATTGAGCCACCCAGGTGCCCGCAAATCAAATCTTAAAAAAACCAAAATGTTAAGGAATCACCACTTAGGCCCTATAGAAGATGAAAACTTGCTTATTCTCATAACACACGTGTTAGTTCATGGGGCCAAAAGTATATCTTTGCCTTGATTACATATTCCATTTTTTCCTCTTGAGATAACCTGTGGCTCTCCTTAGCAAAGACTTCTTGAAAAATACATTTGCACTTCTATTTTCTCTTGTTTTTACCACCCTAATAGAACTGCCAGCTCTGGACCTAGGAAACCTCACTTCCCTGCCCTAGAAAGAAAGCTTAATCTGTTTGCTTACTCTGTGGTCAGAACACAGAATGGCCCAGAGAGCAAGACCATCCATAGTGCTTGATAGGAGACCCAGCGGAGGCTAGAGGGGCAATTTGTGATATATATAGCCAAGGGAAATAAAAACAAACCTTTCATTTCTTTATCATGCCCTAAATAAGGTAAGATTCTCATGAATTGAGTGGCAGGCATCCATGCTTTCATAATAGCCTGTATGTAGCTCTGTCACAGCACTGATCATGAAATATAATACAAGTTAGCTTATATGTCCATCTTTCACACAGCCTAAGAGTGAATTGATGTTGGGGTCACTCAGAGACCATGTCTTTTCCATCCTTAAAACCTTGCACAATGTCAAGCACATAGTGGGAATAAGGTAATAAATGTTTTCTGAATAAGTGATTGCTTATATGTTAGAGTTGTACAGAAGATAATTTAATTTTTAAATTGCAATTTAAAAATTTGCCAGTTACTTTTTTAATTGAGTTATAATTGACAAACAACATTATATTAGTTTCAGGTATATAAAAATGATTTGATATTGTAGGAGTTCTTATATATTCTGGATCATAACCTCTTATTGAATACAACATTTGCAAGTATGTTCTCCTGTTCATTGGTTTCCTTCACTGTGCAAAAGCTTTTTAGTTTGAGGTAGTTCCATTTGTTTACCTTTGCTTTTGTTTCTTTCGCTTTTGATGTCAAATCCAAAAATCATCACCGACACAGACATCAAGGAAGTTACCGCCTATATTTTCTTATGGGGTTTCATGTCTTACTTCAAGTCTTTTAAAACATTTTAAGTTCATTTAGGTACTTGGTGTTAGGTAGTGGCTTAGTGTTATTCTTTTGCATGCAGCTGTCCAATTTTCCTAACATTGTTTATTGAAGACACTGTCATTCCCCATGGTCTGTTCTTAGCTTTGTCACAGATTAGTTGACCATATAGGTATGGGTTTATTTCTGGTCTTTCTATTGTGTTCCACTGATCTATGTGTCTGTTTTTATGCCAATACTATATA